CGAACATTTCCGTCATAACCTCCGTGTGATCATTAGAACATTATTTATATTGCCATTTCAAATTTCATCAAAATACAGCCAGATAAAAAAGATAATGCATCAATAAAATCACTTATTACTAAGTAAATGCAGCTCTATGATTCTAGTTGCCAGAGAAATTTTATTTCAAAAATTGCTTCAAACAGATGTTGACAGATGCAAAACTTTGAACTAGTAGAAGATCTTAAATATTGATTTTCAATCAAAACATATGGTTGGCTGTATTCGGGGAGGGGGGGGGTAGGAATTTATTTTCTAAATAGATGATACGTAACATATATCATGCATGCTTTTATCTTACCACATGCATATCTATTAACCAGACATCAGCAAATAAAACAACGAATTATTCAAAGCTCATATATATAAAAAAAATTAAGGAAAACTTACATAAATTGTCTAAGTTATCAAAATGTCTTTACAAAATGAAAATCAAACTTAAATGCATAAATTCAAAAAATCAATGAATTTCTTTTCATAAAATTAAAGGCCCAATATGCCTCAGAAAAGCTGTCATTTTCATTCCTCATTTTTTTTCGTCTCTTGTTGCAGTTTCAAAAATATTCATATACCAGATAAACATTCTTTTTCTTGCGTTCTTTGCTTTGTTGGCAATAGGTAATTTCATAGGGAGTTAGTATTTTGTTTGGAAGTCAAATACTATTTGTGTTACACTTTGCTTCTTTTATGACAAATTACTTCAGCTCTACTTTCTTCAGTTGAAAACATCTTACAAGCTCTTAATCCATTATTAAAACAACATTAAACACATGTTTGATATTTCTAAACAATAAAAAAAAATTTTCTGAGGCGTAAAGTGCCTTTAAACTTCAAGTTTAAGACAATTTGATATATATATCGTCATCTTAATGCAATAACTAGTTAACTCATATTAAGTTTAGAAGGACTTAACGCGTAACTGCACTAAAGTGAAACTATCATGGGGTTTTGTTATTGTATTTACAGAGTTGAAAAAAAAAACAGTTGTCGTTCCTAAGATTCACAAACTGCTCAGAGGAGCATCCCTATAATAAATCACTAACATTTTTTCGTCGACTTAAATAATATGTACTGAATCGCTTTTGTCATCTTTATTATAAACGTTTATAAAAAAATGAAGCATACATTTTAATACTTTAATCTAATTATCAAATACAGTCCAAAAACATCAGAGCCGATAAGGACATATATAATACGAACTTGCCTGCAACACGCCATGTTAACGACCTATTGGATTCTAAAAATGGTCAAAGGAAACATTCGTCCGATATTAAGAATTTGGAAAGTTTAAAGATAGCTTAACTGTGTACGCTTAAAGGACAGTAATGAAATAAAAAAGCTCAATAGCATATGCATGTCAAAAATGATTTATTACTTTGTTTTCTTTGATAACGTAAAAACGAATTATATAGTTTGTTTCGAAAGCTTTTGGTCTGCAGGCTTATTACACATCAGTAAATAAAGGAGAAAAAACGAAATGCAACATTATAAGAGCTGTAATGCATTAAATATATTGATGATTTCACAAGAGAATGGTTTGTTTAAATCATATAAGATTATATTTTAGGTTGGGGGAGGGCGTTGTTTATGCGGTAATGACGATCTATCAATAAATATTTGTGATCTTTAATTATAAAAGGTTTTCTAGTTTAAATAAATCGTAAAATCGTAAAAGAAAATTGATTGCTATTCATTCAATAATTTCTCAGTTATTACTGTGAATCTGTAAGCAATAGATGAACGTCATGCAGCTCTACAAATTGTTTTGTAGGTTATGTAGGTATAAGTTTCAATGGATGGCAAAGAAACTGCTATGTAATGGCGTCACAATGCTGTATTAGTTGCTATGAAAATAACGGTTAAAAAAAGCTATTCAACGTTCACATGCTACTGTAGATTTTTTCTTTATATCATTACCCAAGCTTGGGTTATGTAAATCTGTGTTTTTTATTTTATTTATTTTGACCTCTACAGACAAAATAAAAGTGAATGCTTGACAAATTATCAAAAACTGTTTTATTTCGGAATAATGCTTAATGATATTAGCTTCTGAATGTAAATCCATTAAGAAAGGATAATCAAATTTATTGCTGAATTTATTGTTATATGCACTCATTTGAGTAAAAATCAATACAAAAGATATTTGTTGAAGTTTTGATACAAGGAACAACGGTAACGCATACTGCACAGGAGGTACATTTTAAATTATCAAACTTTCTTAGATTAAAAGAAAAGTTATATTTCAAAATTATCGCAACACGCACGTTGAAATGGTCTTATGTAAAACGAACATTTATTATGAAGTTTTTTGAAAAATGGAATATGAAAAACAAGAACTACAAAAACGGTCGGCATTCAATGAACGCAACCCGCCATACGGCCCGGAAATTGGGACCCGCCATACTATGGGACCCGCCATACGGCCCGGAAATATGGGACTACTTGCAAGGAGCCCAGCAGGACACCAAACGTAAACAGAACAGGGCGCAAGGCAATCCCCGAGCAAAGAACGGAGACAAATGAATCTTCCCATTCAGTTTTGTAAATGATAAAATATCATTATTTGTTATCATCCAGATAATATGTGACATACAAATAAAACGTTTAAGATTTATAATGCCAAAACACATTAGTGAAAGGAATTTACAATTATAAAGCCTTCACTTTTTTATGAATGGTCAGGGAAATGAAGAGGAAAAGTGATTTCCAAGAACAAATATGATATCTCCATGTGTACCCCATCGACAGTGAGTAAGAGTATGACCCTTTAATATCTTTTTTTATTTTTTAAGTTTGTCCGGACTACTTCTCTATTACCATTAAAGCAATTTCAACGGAGCAGGATTAATCTGCAGCTAAATTACTCGCGCATATTACACGGGGTTTTTGGTTGAAGGATTTTAATAAGTTATGACCTTTGAATTAAAAAGGTTTTTTCGTGTGTTGTCAGCTACACAGAATCTTGTCCGTACTACTTCTTTTAAACTACTGGTGCAATTTTATCCAACCTTTACAGGATTGATAAGTACCAATTCGATCTGTTCAAATTATCGTTTTTATGTTGGTTTGAGGATTTTTGTCTCAGCTACGACCCTTACATATACTTTTAAGTTTGTCCGGACTTGTCCTCGTATACCAATAATACAATTTTACTGAAATTTTACATGATTGGTTGGTAGCTTAGGTATTTGCGCTAATTTACACGGTTTTTCTGCTTGAATAATATTTGGGCGCAGTTATGGCCCTTGAATAGAATAGGTGTAAATAAAAGTTATCCGGACTTCTCCTCCTATACCACTTATGCAATGTCAATGAAACTTTACAGGATTAATTGGTAGCAGCTCAAGTACTTACGCATATTTCACGGGTTTTCCGGTTGAAGGATTTTTAGCCTAGTTAAGGCCCTTGAATAAAAAAAAGGTGGTTTACCCTGTTAATATATTTTGTGTCTCATGCTACACCGTAGCTGCAACATGCAATTAACGATTATGAGGTGAGACATGTCATCACTGATGGCCCTTACTTATATTTATTTTGAAGTTTTATTTGGCTTATTATAATATTAAATAATTTAGCTTCTGTGTCAGATAAACAACAAGTATAAGCCTTTGATACCTGGAATCATCAACCGATCATTTAGATTCCTCCTTGCTGAATGACATCATAGTACCAATCCATTACAAAGTGGCTGTTGAAATCAGGCGAGGGCTTGTCGTAAATACAATGAAAGTAAGAGAAACACTTTCTTTCTTTTCTTTTAATTCACTTTTTATTATAACTTTTACAATCCATTTTTTTTCTTTTCTCACAAAAAGTTTTACACCTAATAACATTTCACAGCACACTCTTTTTCATATCCGGTCAAAATCCTTTTCCTTTCTCAGCAAAATACTTTTCATTTCTCCGTAAAATCGATTTCAACACTAAACTTCAGTGACCATTTGGTCTCTATTTACACAAGTGCACGTCACGTGGTCATGACTTACACTATACCCCCGTTCCCCATTTACAACCCAAAACCCTTAAACATCATCCAAACATCATAAGTATTGACAAAAATAAATTTTATGGAAAAAATATGACTCTTAAAAAATTAAAAGGTATTTAACTCTACTTTCATGTTATATAGAAAAATCACTAGCATCTCGATTGTCAGCGCCTATATTCATCAAATTGTCACCAATCTTTACAACCTTGGTGTCAAATCTTAGATAAATAAATACTCTTTAAGTAAACAACACTGGCACCTTCGCTGATTATACGTAGCAAGTGATATTCAAGCCCAAACTGTCAACAAATGAAACTCGGAAGAGATCTGATTGCACTGTTTCGGTATAACTCTCACGAGTAAAACACACTAAATTCACAGTGAAAGAATATTTCGTTGTATTGCTTATTAAAATATGATAAAATTAAATTATTATTTGTAATAATTGTTCAATCAAAGCATCATATGAAACTATAACGCACCTTTTTCCTATATGTCAAATTCTCAATCCAAAATGAAAGTAAAATGGCGCAGCAGATTGTTTTCATATGGAGTATTTTCATTGGTCACATGAAAACCTCGGACCAATGAAAATACTCCATATAAAAGTAAAGGGAAACAGGGAACTTGTTTTTATGTTTGACTATGATACAAAAGCGAAAGAACATCAAAATACTCGGCAATCTGATTAATACTTGGGGGATACGCCCCCTCGTACAAATCAGAAAGCCTCGTGTTACGATGCTCTTTCTATTACTTAAAATAGTATGTTTCAATACCTGCCAAATTTCCAAGATTCAAACACAACAATATATTTTCTTTTATTAGTAGCCATCTGCGCATAATAGCATTCACATGCCACATAAAAATGGTAAGTTTTGTTGTTTCTCTCTCTCTCACTCTATTTCTCTCTCTCCCTCTCTCCCTCTAGAATATTAGAGGAATGGGTCTAACAATAGAACAACTAAAGAAACAAAAAGCAGATGATTTATTTGTTCCGATAGGAAGATATCTTAACAATTGTGTTATGGTATTTCATTGGTAACACATTAAAAAACGGTTTACAGTGTTTCCATGTTATCAGCTTTTAAAACTAGAGAATAAGAATAGTATCTAACCACAAACCGAGTAAAATTACTGATATCGAAAATTTAACGAACTTTTAAATTTATACCGAATGCCAGAACATACAATATATTCATGTAAAAAGCAATCTCACTACTTAGCGCATGAAAAACTAGTTGGTGAGTAAGCAATATGATCAAAGGGTTCATTGGATACATTTTAATACTGCATTTAAAACTGCAATTCATGAATTCCAGATATACTGAACCAAATGTACTCAATTCATTGTTTTACAAAATTATAAAACAGCACAATCTATTTCTTTTATAATTTTATAAGTAGCACTTTGATCTGTGCATAGAAGCATATAATTACCACATTTTAAAACTATTTTACGTTGTATTGTTCATATTTTTAACGAAAGTGTAAATCCAATTGTCATGAAGTTTATAATAAATTATTGTGTTGTATGACACTGAGATATGGCTAAAACATGTGTTCAAAATCGGCGTAAACACACAAACAAATCAACAAAAACTGAAAAAGAACTAAAATACAAACAACAGTCCTAAAGGGTCTCCACTGAGGCATTTTGACATGATGGGACTTGAAATAATTTTTCAAGATTAATATTTCAATTGACGTAGGTCTAGTGTTATATACATTCATTGTATCATGTGTATTTCAGACAGAAACAGGTAAAGAATCAGGTTAAGTTTTATTGTCTGAGTATTTCACATGCAAATAATATATATTTGTTTGTACAACCTCCATCATGCCAGCGCCACAATTTTGATGTCATTCCAAAATAGAAAACCTTGCACAGTTGTCCAGAACTTAGGTGAGGTTCGCCTTGTGCTACATCCCAGTAGGTAAATGTAGGATCCAAAGATTGAACATTATGTTTCCATTCATGGCTGCCTTCAGATCGGATACCATCTATCCATTATCCTGAGGAATTTACCGAATGCTCGCGCAGTAATTCCTCTACATCACGGAACTTTCGCATGGAGTCAATATTAACAAGATGACCGCCATCAAGCCGACAAGTATTCTCCGCATCACTTCTACTCTTCTGATTTAAGTACATCTTCAGACAATGTCCACGATAAGTGCTATTATAATGGTTTGGACACATTTGTTCGCAAATTGTAGACTCAGTCTGTACTTCAGATGAGGAACCTCCCTTACATATTTTGGTATTGCCATCACACATTCTGTTTCGTTTTTGGATTCCAAACTGCCCACCATGCATGCTTGTATCACATTGCGACCATTCAGTCCAGTCATTGCATGTACGCAACAGGCATAGTTTGTCACTTATCTTAGAGTACTTATCTTTCAAGCTATGATATTTGTCTTCCAGGTTGATAATTATTGTTCCCAGCAGACTTAAGATAGGTTTATCAACTTTCCTTCCAAAATCAACAAGATTCTTTCCATCCACGCTATTATTGGCAACATTTTCGCCAACAACATAAAAGCTTCTACCGCAACTGTAAACGACTAACATTACTTGTGTCATATAAAGAAATGTACGACTCATTTCTGATGAAGAGGATATGATCTACGATTGCTTATCTTTTTGAATTAAGTTGACTGTCCGTCTACCTATAAATAATCAAGTAAACATGGGTGACACATATGTGAGAGGAGATGTATCAGATTATATAAGTGTAGTAAAATTGGCGTTATAATCCATTCATTTTGACAGAAAACAAAGGTCGTCAACATGACTATCAAAAAACAGCAAGCATTTGAGCATGTATAGGATTTCCTTGTGAATAAATAATATATCAGAAATATGTATTGGTTGTTTTGTTAATTTAATTGAATCAGTTCATAACCATAACCCGATATACCATTGACCAATCTCTTCAGCCTGCATTTACTGGAAAACACTAGTCAAGAGCACGTAATATCAAGTACTATCATGTCTTCTCTTGTGAAAAATGATAAAGTGTGACATTCAACATGAATTTAGATCTATTCGTTCACACAAACTTAAGTTATTTCCTGTTTCTAAAATAGTTGCTCTTTCCATAACCAAAATAACCAAACAAAGACATTTATATTTTATAAATGCCCACATTGCTTGAAACACATTTCCACATCTAAAGAGTTGTACCAATATTCCCTCTACCTAAGAAACATTGGTCAGTGGAATACCTAATGCACATACAGGAGTCACAATATATCACTCATATCAGTTGTCACTGTGACTCTTCTTGTCTTAATATTGGAAAATTAATTCATCAATCATACTATGTACAAAGTTTTAATTTTTCCGCTTTTGTACATATGTTTAGCCAGTGCCCACAATTAATATTCAGTGAAGTGAAGGAGTGTGGTATTTACTAGAAGAAGACGAAAAAGATGTACTAAAATGTGATATATGATATTGAGGTATTTATCAAATGGGTTTGTCACATGCTCAGATAAGCACGAGTATTTGTGTATTAATTGTTTGCTGGCTTGTTTAAGGAATAAATTGCATTATTACAATTTTAACATGAATGCATGTATGCAAATAAGGTTGATATCTTGCTCAACAGTTTTAATATGTTTTGTCCTTTAAAGAGTATATCAATGCGAAAAAAGTAGGTATACAAAAAATTTAACAAAGAGCATAAATATCTTTTGTCATTCGGAAAAGTATGCAGATACATAAACTAAGATATTACAGCAGTTTTTATTTTTATTTTATTTAATATGGCAAATAGCCTATTAATACATATATTAATTAATTGATATTAATATATTTCTATTTTAACTAAAATGACACTGTAGATATAACAAAGTGTGCTTACTTTGTAATACCTATTCCAAATAATATATTCGCTCGTCCTCACATCTAATGAAAGTGAAACAAAACATATCTCAATAACCTTTTAAAACGATCATGCGAAAATACTTGAACTTCGAATGTGTGAACAAGTGTTTAATCTATACACAGACAAGGACTTTTATATATTTAATATGGAAAAAAAATTACATTACTTATAATACCATGTTGGTTTTCACTTAGTTTATACAAAAATATTTTAGTTCGATTGTGTTGGAAGCGTTAAGCTTATTAAAACACTATCGAATCCGTTCCTGGAACCAACCAGTATTTATCAATGAATGTAAAGTTTCTTGCTCAATAAAACAACGGCTTGCGTGGTTTGAACCAACGCGGTCAGCGATCTTTAGATTACTAGTCCGACTTGGTCACGCCGCCACTCTATTCACTTGAAGCTTCTGAAGAAAGATCTATGTTGGTCGCAAAACAAGCAATATAATTATGCTTCATTTGAGAATTGTAGGCCATATCACTTTATAATGGATCGATTGACCGCGCTGACCTACGAAACAATGGAAAGCAATAAATCCCTACTTCTTCGGATGGGGCATAACTTTTACTTAAGGTTAAAAAACAAAGTCGTTCAATTGGAATACTTAGAACTCAACTGGTGAAAGTATATTCAGTCACACGTATTTCGCTTTTAATCACTAAGGCCGGTATTCCATCTATACGGGAACGTGTAGCGTGAACGTGAAGCGCGAACGTGAAAAATCAAACAAACGATTTTCTATTGTATTTATTCCTTATCGGCGTGAGCGCGACGTAAGCGTGAAACGCGAATTTATGACATGTGACCGTGTAACGCAAGCGTGAAACCGGTCGCTACATGTAGTGATTTTTCAAGTTCACGCACGGCATTCGCGGACGAGAAGCCACCATGAAAGGTCTTCTATCTATGCCAGATGCAACAGAAAAACTTATTGAAGCAATTAAAAAATGCCCTTTTCTGTACGACCAGTCCCTTCAGGAGCACAGGGACACAGGCATCAAAGACCGGGTGTTGCAGACAATTGCTGACTCTCTCAACATTCCTGGCTTGAAATGTACACCTAACATAAATTAATTTCAGGTGCAAAACAATGTTAACTTACGTGTGTGTAGTTTTTGCAAGCATGCTTATGACAAAGGAAAACCACCCAAGAGAGTAAGAAATTGCGTCCAATCATCTAATGATATATTTTCTTTCCAAAAAAATTGAACGAAACAATTGTTTTCACGCTAACCGGATGAATGGAATAGTGTAAGCGTGAAAGCTCACGCCTCATGTTCAAGTTTCACGCTCACGCTAAACGTTCACGTCGCGCTCCCGTATGAATAGAATACCGGTCTTATACATGTTCGCTCTTACATAAAACATAAAATGTAAATGTGCCATGTACATAATTAGGTAATAAAAATGCAGGAAACCAATGTCACTTGTACAAGATGTGAACAAACATAATCAAAAGTGTTCAAGTTTAAAAAAATTAAACGAACGGTTAGGTAATCATGTGAAAATATCTGACAAAATGATCCCTCGGAAGCATTTAAAACAGCAAAATTGCATGAAAATTGCAGACTCGGTTTGAATTTGTACATGAGAACTAATGAAAAAGTGTAACATCCCTCACGCCCCCTAGCACCGACTTGAGCGATTCTCAATTCTCAACTCTTAAAAGTGCTGGACATGTTGTTCCTTATTCTTTATACAATACATGCTTTACGTCTAGAAAAATAGAATATTTGTATCATTTGTTAATCAAATCCGACCATTTTTCGTTTAGTTAAAGCACTAGATAGTATGTTATAATTGGTATTTTTTATGATTGAAGTTCCAGTCTTAAAGGTTTGCTTTGCTACTATCTAAATGTTAATGTGTGGTAGAGAATGTTATGCCCTTTTTATGTAGTTACTGTAATGAAAATCTTTTTATATCAATTTGTGCTATTAAAGAAAGCTAAAAGTGATATTTGATATTGAATATGTTCCAGGTTCGGTTCGACCTCATCCAGCCATCGACACCAGTATCCGCAAGTTATCACACCCTCGACATACCTGGGAAAAACTCGATAACTAAACAGATATGCAAATACCGGTATTATTGAAATTTAGTTGATTCAAACTAAAACGCAATGTGTACTTTTTGTGCTATTATTACGAGACCGTACATTGAATTGTTTTAATTATAGATCTGTAACAAAAATCAGAAACATGTTTTATTGATTGACATGCTAAAATAAGTAATTTATGAAATAAATTAAACATGAAATGTAACATTCACCATATTGTAGGCATCTCAAACAGGTAATCGTCAACTCAACTTTATATTAAAGGTATCTCACATATGCTGATCCTCCTCTTTAGGGTACCTCTACGTAGTGAGGAGGAGTAACATATGTCCGTTATGGGGGTGCGCTGTTGTGCGCCTGTATGACGGACATATGGCCAACACCCTGACTGCCTGTTTGCCGTGGGCAGCGTCCCGTAACCTAGAAAAGAGGGTCCTGGTAGTTGAGGAATACCCAGGGATCTCCAGTACTCCCAACACACTGCTTTGGCCTCTGATTTAGGGTAGACGGGTGGCCAAGCGAGCCCGGCTTTTTGGTCAATCGGCTGGTCATGCCTGCCCTTGGATATATATTTCTAAATCAATTGCAGATTTCATTGAACTTACACGATCCCGAAATAAAAACAATTCAAAGCACATAATTTGATTCCTACTTGTGATTCTAGTATACCTTTCAATTCCTACTAAAACTGTAATTATGGGTGCCGTTATATTACAACAATTTTTCACATTTGCATTATAAATACAGTATAACATATCAAAGAAGGCGGTGGCTATGGGCTAATTGTGTAAATTGTAATTATTTAAAATCTATACGAGTATATCTCTCTGGTAGCCTTGTTGTGCGGAGACTGGATATCCGTCTCCATCGCACATCCCCATGTTGGAGTCCGAGGTGGCTGGGGAACCCGGGAGACGAATTTTTCATATCTTTATCATGGATTCCCAAACCAAAAAACGAAAATCGCAAGAAGATTCAATTTGTAACGATTCAGTTGATGGAAGTTTTCCCCGTTTTCTGATAATTAAATCAAATAGCTCAAAATCACTAACTGAACTTAGCCCTTTCATTAGAGAAAAACAACTTTCAGCTTTAATTGGTACGCCTAAATCTGTCAAGAAACTCCGCAATGGTGGACTCTTGATAGAGGTAGAGCGAAAGCAACAAGCAGAAAATATTTTGAAAAGCACAACCTTCTTCAATATCGATTCAACTGCCGCGCCTCACCAGTCTCTGAACTCCAGCAAGGGCGTTATCAAATGTGCTGACCTTGCTGGAATGGCAGAGAATGATATTGCTGAAGAGTTAAAATCGCAGCAAGTTTCAAATATCAAGCGCATTTATTCTACAAGAGATGGTAATAGAGTGCCAACGAATAGCCTTATAGTTACATTCTCTACACCCATTCTTCCATCATCGATTCGAGTAGGTTACCTTAAAGTTCGCGTTGTGGTTTACATTCCAAAACCCAATGCAATGTTACAAATGCTTCAAATTTGGTCACCATGAATCAAATTGTGCAAGGCAGACTATTTGCCGCAGATGCAGTTCAAACCATGACAACAAAATGAGACTTGTAACGTCCCTGTTAAATGTGCCAACTGTGGAGGAGAGCATTACGCCACCTCCCGGTCATGCCCCTTGTGGTTAAAAGAAAAAGAAATTCTACGTCAGAAGTATATACGCAAAATATTTCCTTTCACGAAAGCTTGTTGAATCACAAGGACCAAAACAACTGTCGTATTCAGCTGCAGTTACAAAGCCTGTTAAGATGGTTGACTCTGCAGTACAGGTCAACTTATGTCAATGCCCCCCAATTAAGTTACCATTACCTTCAAAGCATACAGCTTCACAAAGTAAGCAGTCTACCTCTGTGCAGACTCAGTCACCATTAAAGTATTCTCCAAAGAAACAAACCGCAAACATTCAAATAGCATCTTCTGAGAAAGTTATTAAAAAACAATCGCCTTAAGAGCGAATTGTCATCACAGATCGGTTGAAAAAAGCAATGCGGAACCCGATCAACACAGAAAATCGGTTCGATCCACTTCACGACACCCAATTGATGGAGGATGATGATCTTTACCTCTCCCCTCCTCCAACTCCGAATAGCAGAAGTCCAATAAAGTTTCCTAAATGATATAAATATTCTTTAAAATGGATAATAGAAGTCATTCTATCCTACAATGGAATTGCCGTGGTCTAAAGTCAAATTATAATGATTTACTTCTACTTTTATCAAAATTATCTCCAAATGTGTTATGTCTTCAGGAGACCATGTTATCTCCTAAATGATAATATCTCTATAAAAGGTTATACACTATATAAACTATATGCATTAGTAACGCCATAAACATCAGGTATGTGACAAGCATTGCTATCGCAAATTGCGTTCCACAAAAAGAACTAAAACTTAACACAAATTACAAGCCCACAGCTGTGCAGGCGACCTTACATCGACCTCTAACAAATTTATGTTCTCTATACCTTTCTCCAAATATAACAGGTAACAAGTGATGAGCTTGAGAGTATTGTTCGACAAATTACCATCACCTTTCCTTCTCTTAGGCGACTTTAATGCTCATAAATCCTATTGTGGGCAGTACATCTAAAATAACAAGGGTAATATAACTTGAAAAATTGATAGATAACTTTCAGCTTTGTTTATTAAACAATCGGTCACCTACATATTACATCCAGCTACAGGTACGTTTTCTTGCATCGACCTCTCGATTGTCCACTCTGCTATATTCTTGGACTTCGATTGGAAAGTGTTAGATGACCAGTACGGCAGTGATCATTTTCCATTGTTACTTACATCAAATGACTCTATACCAGATGAAAGACGTCAATTTTTTAAATTTAAGAAAGCAGATTGGGAAACATTTTCTAGTCTCTGTTCCATTGATCTAACAAAAAATGAATTTAATTTCACTTCTGCTGATATAGCTGAAACTTTTTCTTCAGCATTACATACTATTGCCTGCAAAGTTGTTCCATTGTCAAAAATAATAGTAAACAAAATCAAAAAGCCATGGTTTAACGATGAATGT